GGAGCCCCTGGCTGTTTGCGAACTGCTTGATCGCGGCGCGGCTCGGGGCCTGGCCCATGGCCGCCTCCAAAGCAGCCGTCAAGCGCAACGCGCCCCGCGCGGCCTCGGCGGCTTCCGCCCCGTCTCCCGCGGCCGCTCGCGCCCAGAGCGCGAAGTCGACCGCGCGCGCGCGCCGGCGCAACCGATCGCCCAGCCTGCCGGTTGCCCGCGCCCACGGAGGAGGCCCCGGGAGGGCCGCCACGGGCGCCCGATGGCCTCGCCAACCCAGATGCGCCTGCGAGCGGAGTACGCTGCCAGAGCTGGCTCGAAGATCCGGCCGGGGGCCCCAGCGCGAGACTGAGCACAGGAAGCGTCTGAAAGTCGACCTGGTCGTTCGCTTTGCGCCAGTCCAGCGCGGCCCCGGCGACCTCTTCCGACATGACGTCGGCCGCCTCCAGCTCTATGGCCAGCCCCCGCGCGAGCTCCTCGGCCCCCTGCCGCCGCCCCCCCCAGCTGCGCGGCCGCTGGGCGAACGGGCGCGCCTCCGCGCGCCTCCACCTCCGCGAAAAAATGCGCGATCCACTCGTGCAGGTCCTGTGGCAGCCGGAGTTCGCTCGCCAGCCGCGCGTTCAGCCACGCGTTCAGCCCTGGCTTTTTGCGCTTCGGCATGGCCTGCATCAGCGAAGTCGCCAGCTCTGCGGTCCAGGGCGCAACGTCAGGGAACGGCGGCAAGCCGCCCAATTCCTTCGCCCATGCCTCTTGCACGGGGGCCGCCACGGGCTGCTGCTAGAGCTCGCGCCAAGGGCCCTCGAAGTATCGGAGCTTCGCGACTGGGCCACCCAACGGCGCCGGCAGCTAGGGCCCGCGGCCAGCCGATGGCCCGGCGGCGGCCGCGGCCGCAGCAACGCCGCCCCCCAGCGGCGGCGCAGGTACCAGCTCAGCATCCACGCTGCCGCCGCCGCGAATCCAGCGGTAGAGCCGCCCCTAGCAATAAGCTAGGGCATCGCGCGCCCGCCTGCGCCATTCCCCTCGTCGCCAGAATCCGGCAGCTGACTATGCGTTCTCCCATTCGGCCTCGGCCCGCTGCAACGAGGTATCCGGGGCCGTCGTGGACACCGACAGGCTCGCGACCTCGGACTCCAAGCCCGCGCGGCCCGCGTCGGCGGCGCGCAGCGCTTGCAACGGGGCCCAGGCAACCCGTCAAGCGGCAATAGCGCTGCCGCTCTGCGCGCGCTGGAAGCTTCGCGGGCGCCCGAGCCGCAGGAACGTTGCGTCAGCAGCGTCGGCAGCCTCACCGTCGCCACCTCGCGCGCAAGGCCGCTCTTCCTTCCAAGTCGCTGCAGCGCGCATCCGCTCCGCAGCGGTCGCCCTGCCCAGCCTGGCCGACAGCCACGTGCGCATCGCGAGGCTGAGCTTTCCCCAGGCGGCGCCTTGGCCACGCCGGCGCACCCCGCTCGGGCAGGGTTCCTCATGGTTGGCCCCGACGGCCCCCATGGCATCCCTTCCCAGAGTGCCCGCGCCCAGCCAAACGCGGCTGAGCCGTCGAGCCGAACCGCGGGCTCGCGAATCATAGCCATCTCCGCCGCCCCCACCTTCAGGGTCAACATCAGGGCCGCGCGCGCGGCGAGCCCCAGGCCCCAGCGAAGGCCCGCGGCCCGAACGACGCCCAGCGCCTCGGCTATCGATCCGCGACGGCAAAACCTGGGATGGAAGGCACGTCAGCCCAGCTGCCGCCAGCAGGTCGCGCCGCCCAGCCATCGCCAGCAGCCCGTCCAGGCCCGAGTCGTAGAGCCGACAATTGAAATCGCCCGCGAGGAACGCCAGGACGCCCCCCAAACCTCCAGGCCACTCCAGGACGAGGCCTGGGTTCCGCTCGGCGTCAGCGCTGAGCACGGACCGACCAACCCGGCATTCCTATACTCCTACCACGATATGTTCTTAAAAACCAAGAACGTTCGAATAGCACAAACAAGAATGATCTTAGAACATCAGCCCAATGTGTTCAAACAAGACACCCCCAGCCATACATGTTCTAAATTATTATTTTTTTATATATATATATATATATATATATAAAAAAAAACGTGAGAACCACAACATGTTCTGAAATCATTGCTTGGTTGGGCAATAGGCGAGCCAGGACGCTTCGCCACTGCTTGACAGCGGACCCCCCCCCCCCACACCCCAATTCATAGCCGTGACAGTTCATAGAACGAGCCGCCCGGCCACTCCCAAAGCGCATCGCCACGTGCTGCGGACGGACGGGATGCCGCCCCGAAAACCCCAGGGGTGGGTCCGCGCGCACGGCGCCGCACCCACGGCGATGGGCAGACGCCAGCAGATGCTCCTCGGCACTGACCGGCCCAGGAAACAGCTGCATGCCACGCGACATGGCCGCGGCCACTGCAGCGCCCGGGCGCCTCCGCCTCGGGGATCTGCGCCTCCTGGAGGCACCGCGCGTCGGCGCCAGCTGCGAGCGGGCCTCGCGCTCCAGCGCGACACTGGCGACGAGCACCGTGACCTCGCCAGGCGCAGGTGCGGAAGCGGGCCCAGGGCGCGAGACCTCGCCCACGTGGGCGCCGCGCCACGGCCATCCGCTCCAACGCTCGGCCGGCGCGAGCCGCCCGTCACAGCGCGCGCGGGCCATGCAGGCGCATGAGTTTTCCGAGCAGCGTCCAGCCGCGGCGACAAGGTCCAGGGAAAACGGAACCCCAGGGCCAGGACAGGCCGTCCGCGGGGGCACTCGTCGCCACCAGCGGCGCGAGCAGCCTGGCGAAACCACCAGCCGGCGCGGTCAGGGCGGGCCGCCTGGCCTGGGCGCCTGCCTCGGCAGCTGGTGCGAGCTGCCAGCCATCAGCCGGCGCGAACCGCGCGCCACCTCTCACGCGCAGCCCGCCGCGCCCCGCTCGACGCTCCGGGGGCGGCCCCGTCTGCTTGGGGGCGGCGGCGTGGAGCGGGCGCGCGGGCGGCCCAGGCATTGCCTGAGCGTGCCCTGGCGCCTCGCTTCGTCGGCGCGGCAAACGGCTGCCACCTCGCGCCACAACCTGGGCGCAGATCCGCACTCTGCAGCGTCGCCGGGCTCGCTTCCTGGCAGCGCGGCACCAGGCGCGGCAACAGCCCCGAATCCTTGGCCCTCTGGCAGCACAGCGCCAGGAGCGACGGCGGCAGCAGCACAAACGCCAGGAACGCCATGACCAACGGCGGCTTGCGGAGGGACGGCAGGCGATGAGGCGACGGGAGCGCCCACTGCCTCCGCCACACTGCCTGCAGGGGCCGCCCCACCGCTGCCACCTGGCGGTTGCGCGAGCGCGCCCTGGAGCTGCTGCAGCAGGCCGGCCACAACGGCCTGCGCGCCGGGGGCGGCGGCGGCGGCAGCAAGCGTCGCGAAGGCTGTGTCGAGCCCTCTGGCGAAGGCGCCGGGGCCTGGCGCCGGCCCTGCGGCGCTGCTGGCGGCCACCTCGGCCTGCGCGGCTGCCAACGTCCGCTGCGCGGCGGCCTCCTCGGCTGCCGCACGTTCCGCCTCCTCCTGTTTGGCCGCGGCCGCCTGCGCCGGTCGCGCGGCCCCCTCCTGAGCGTCGCCGGCGGCCTGCCGCGCCTGCGCGGCCGCCTCGGCGCGGTGGCGGAACGCATCCGTTGCCGACTGCAGCCGACGCTCGAGAGGCCGGGCTGCCAGCGCCGCCTCCTCCGCCTCCCACTGCGCCACCTGAGCGGCGAGCTCGGGGAAACCCTGGATCGCCGCCAATCGGGCGCGCACAGCTGCCAGGCGCTCCCCATCCGCTGGCTCGGTCATCGTGGAATCGACGGCCTCCGCCGCAACCGCCGCATCGCCTACAGCCGCAGGCGACGCCTCCGCGGCTGGACGAGCCGCGTCGCCTTGGTGCCCCGTCGCCTGCGAAACCCAAAGCTCGTGGCGGGCCCAGGCGCCCGGCCCGCCTGCACCACTCGCGCGGAGAGTTCGTCCGCCGAGCGGGGGGCGCGGCGGCCGTAGCCACAGGATGCCGTGCGGCACGCCTAATTGTCGGCCACCCCACATGGGCAGCCCCACATCGGCTGGCGGGGCCCGCCGGCCGCTCGGCAGGAGGGCCACCACCCCGGGCCACAGCACCACCTCGTGACTGCTGACGCCGCGGCTCCTGTTGCCACCGCTGCCGCCTGCCCGATCCATCCCCAGCTGCTGGCCCCGCCGCCCCCTGGCCGAGCAGCGCCCGCAGCGCCGCCAGCGTCTCCTGGTCGGAGCGGCATGGCCCCCCGCCAGGAGCCTGCTGCCCACGCCCGCGGCAGGGGGGCATCTGGTGGCTGTGGTGCTACTGCAGAAGGTCAACCGCCTGGCCAAGCCGCACCAGCATGCGCGCCTGCCCGCGCGCCCGCCGGTGCCGCCGGTGCCTCGCTGGGCTGCTGGTGCGTGGTACGTGGGCCACCGTCTCGGCCTCGTCTGGGCCCAGCCCTGGCCCTCTACTGCAGCGGACACGCCCCCGCGCGCTCGCTGGCTGAGAGGACCTTGAGCCAAAATGGCTTGAACCAAAATGGCTTGAGCCAAAATGGCTTGAGCCAAACTCAAAGTTGGCACGCGCGGAAGAAAACTGCTGTCGAAGTGCAGCTCACCAGACCTACCGCCAAGTTTGAACATTGGGGGGAGGGGCAGGCGTTGACAGATGAATGTGGCATGCGTGATCGCTATTTTTCCGAGGCCTGTAACTCCCTCTCCCCCTCCGCCTGGAGGCGAGCGGGGAGGCGGGGTTTGAGTTGGGACCGACCGTCCCGACATTCCTGTAGGCCTACCACGCAATTGGCTTAGACCCATAAATGCTCAAAAAAACAGAACCATGCTCTTAGGACATATGTCCGACTTGTTCCATCAAGACAGCCCCAGCCAGGAATGTCCAAGAACATCTCGTGCAGACCACAGACGCTTCACAAAGCATTACTTGGCGGGCCTACAGGCGGGCCAGGACGCCTCGCCACTGCTCGAGAGGTGGGAGGGGGCCCCCGCGCGCACGGAGCTGCCGCCGGCCCGCCGCCCCTCAGAAGCCGTTGCGCCCCCACACCTCTCCGCGCGGCCCGTGCACCGGGGGAGAAACGACGGAGGAGGAGGAGGAGGAGGAGCAGGAGGAGGAGGAGGCGGAGGCGGAGGCGGAGGAGGAGGCGGAGGAGGAGGAGGAGGCGGAGGCGGAGGAGGAGGAGGAGGAACAAAAAGGAGGAGGAGAAAAAGGAGGAGGAGGAGGAGGAGGAGGAGGAGGAGGAGGAGGAGGAGGAGGAATAGGAGGAGGAGGAGGGGGGGCGCGCGGCGCCCCGGCGAGGGGAGAGACGGCGAGGGCTCGGGCCCGGATCTCCGGCGAGACGGTGCCGCTCCACCAGCAGCGCACCTGGGCTTCGGCCTCTGGGGCCCGCGGCGGGGGCCCAGGGCGACAGACAGCAGGAGTGCCCCTGCTTAGCCCTGTGGGAAGGGGGCCTCAGCCAGGAGGGCCAGGAGCACATTGGGGACGGGGGCTCTCATCTGCAGACGTATCAAGCCACACCGCCCAAATGTTTCAGATCCCGAACGCAAAGATGGGAACCGACGTAAGGCCACATCTTCATCGTGTTATAACTCAGATTCGGGTTTCTTCTGCTGTCGATCATAGGACCACCAAACACGGATCCGGGACGAACGGGTCGGGAACTCTGGGGCCGCGGCGGGAAAAAACATCGCAGCGGCGGGTGTCAGGGGACCGCTCGAGGGGAGCCCAGGACCTGTGTGGGTACCTCTCGAGCGGTCTCGGGCGATCCGAGCTCTCGAGCTGTCCGAGCCTGGGTAGCCTGGGCCCCCGGTCGCCCAACGTCGCGCCTCGTGCCCTGCGATGCGGGACCCGCGAGCTGCGACCTGTGTGGAGCGCCGCGAGTCGCTGCAGGGCGGGGCCCCGAGGCTCCCAGACAACGACCACATGCAGCGCGACCAGGGCTTCTCCGATAGCGACAGCGGAATTTGCAAGATCGCCCTCTAGCTCGGCCCAAGCGAGACCGCTCGAAAGATGCCCGGGGCACCTAACTTCGCGAATCGCGCGCCTTGCTGCGCGACGCATGATGCTCTTCGCGCCCTTCAGCCTAGGAACAAACGAAAACGGCACCACCACCACCACCACCACCACCACCACCACCAGGGACCACCAGCGCGAGGCGCCAGGGCGGGTCCCCCGTGGTGGTGTGGTCCCCCCCCTCTCGCTCGAGACACCCCTCATCCCTAGCTCGGCGAGGCATCGTGGACCTCCTCGCTGAACTCGTGGCCCCCCTGGTGGTGGTCGTGTCGCTTCTCCCTCCCCCGACCCTCCTGCCCCTCCTCCCTCGACTGTCCTCTGATCCTCCTCCTCCTCCCCCTCCTCTTCCCCCTGCTCCTCCTCCTCCTCCTGGTGGTGATGGTGGTGTCGCTTCTAACTCCCCCTGCCAATCCTCGCGCCGCCTCCTCCTCCTCCTTCTCCTCCTTCTCCACCTCATCCTTCCCCTCCTCGTCCTCCTCCTTCTTCTCCTCCCCCTTCCCCCGCGTCCCCCTCTCCTCCTCCTCCTCCTCCTCCTCCTCCTCCTCCTCCTCCTCCTCCTCCTCCTCCTTCCCCCTCCTCCTGGCGGTGTCGCTTCTCCCTCCCCCGGCCAAGCCCTCGCGCCGCCCCCCCTCCGGAGCAGGGCGGCCGCTCTGGAGCCCAGGCCGCAAAGCGCGAGAAGCGCAGCTGCCTCCTTCGCGCCCCCGCGGCTGGCCTGGGCTCGAGGCGCTGCTGGCCGAGGCTCTTGCTTCGGGCGCGGCCCAATCTATATAAAAAACAAAAGCATCAGAAAATGATAAGAAATCGAAGGAGAATAATAAGACAAATGAACAAGTCCATACGAACGAACATAAACTCCCAAATGATAACAATAATACTAAGAAAAATAACAATAACAAGAATAATAATAAGAATGGCCATAAGAATAAAGAAAATCCGCCGATCTGGCGTGTGAGTTTCTGAGAGCGTGGACTTGAGCTCGCTCAAGCTTCGCTCTGCAAGGGGGGAGGAGGGGACGCCATTCCCGACGCCATGGGGGGGGGGGGGTATTTCCCGACGCCAATCAGTGCTCGGGAGCCGGGGGGGGGGGGGGTCGCTCTGAAAGGGGGGGCACGCCATTCCCGACGCCATTCAGTGCTCGGGAGCTGCGGGGGGGGGGAGGGTTCGCTCTGCAGGGGGGGGGGGGGGAGACGCCATTCCCGGCACCATGCAGTGCTCAGGGGCGGGAGGGCTTCGCTTCCGACCTCCCGGGACCGCGTCAAGACGGCTCAAAAGGCTCCCAAGACGACCCCAAAACGGCGCAAGGGAACGCCAAGACGGCCCAAGAAGCGCCCAAGCCAGCCAAAGAGGGCTCAGCTCGAATCGAAAATCAAAGTCTAGACGCCCAAGATGTCCCCAAGACGGCTCCAGCAGCCTCCAAGACGCCCCGAGAAGCCCTCTAGAGGCCTCCCCAGAGGGCCCAAAGAGGCAAACATTGTCCCATTCCCTTGATTTGGAAAACTGAGCGTATTCGCCTCTTGAACCTTACAGTTTCCAAGACGGCCCAAGAAGGCCCCAAGACGACCAAAGAAAGCCCCAAGACGGCCCAAGACAGCCCTAAGACGGCCCAAGACAGCCCCAAGAGGGCCCAAGAGGCGCCCAAGAAGGCTCGAAGACAACCACACAAGAGTTCACGTTGGCCCAAGAGAATAATAATAACACACAGCAAACAAAATGGATTAGCATAAACTCCCGAAGGTGCGCGGGGATCTCTCGGATCGGCTCTGGGGCCACTGGCGGCGCTTTCCGCGCCGCCCCAGGTGCGCTCCCCGCGCGAAACAAGGGGGTCGTCTGGCGCCGATCCCAGAAGTCCGCGTGGACCTCCGGAAGCTTCTGCTTATGCAGTCTGTCCTACTAGATGTATGTCGGGCATGTCCTCCTATAAGTGGACTTTGGACGAAATATAACAAATGTTCAAACAATAAACAAGTACCGTCAAAAATACGCAAAAAGTCGTCCCCATAATATTATTTGACTATTCTTAGATATTCCTCCTGTAGAGGGGCACGCCCAACTTAGGCAAGCCTGAAAGCACCCGCCGAGCCAGGGCAGGGGCTAAGGCGAGGGGCAACATTATGGGAGGGGGGGGACATCGACCTCGAATCGGCGATGCATCGCCGATAGGCTGGCGACAGGAGCCCTATAGATAGCGCGTGCGGACGTTCGTGGGCGGGGAGGGCAATCGGGCTCCTATCGGCAATGAATGGGCCATTGGGGGTCGGTGTATCCCCCCTGAGCGTTTCCCACCCCTAACGTTGCCCCTGAGAGGGGCAGAGGGAACGGGGGCCAGGCCAAGGCGACATCGATTCTGCTGATCGATGGGGGGCAAGGGTAGGGTTCGGATTTCGCCGCCGAGGAGAGTGGAGTGGACATCCCAACAACCTCCGAACGATCGAGTGTTCTCGGTCCTGGCGCGGTTTCCTTACCCTCGGTTCAAAGGTTCAAAGGGTTGGTTTTGCGAGCCATCAAACGTGGATCCAGGATGAGGGACTGCCGCCCCCTGGGGAGAAGGTCGTGGGTGCTGGGGCCCGTGGCTTGCGAGACAAATCACAACGGTGGATGCCAGATGATCGATGACCGAGCCTTTGGACATGGCTGGCCCGCCTTGGGACTCCCAAGGCCTCCGCGGAGGCAGGCCTCTGGAAGCCTCTGGGAGACCTGGACCTCTGACCATCGCTGTCGTCGTCTTCGTCCGACTGCCGACCATCCGCAGTCGGACGAAACGACGTGCTTCGCGCACTGCACAACTGCTTCGAAGTGCTTCGGCAGTCGGACGAAACCACGTGCTTCGCGACATGCTTCGGCAGTCGGACGAAACGACGTGCTTCGCAGACGAAACGACGTGCTTCGTGCTTGGACGCAACCGATTGCGACGCAGCCGAGCTGGCCGAGCCGCGAACACCATTGGTGATCCTCGTCGCTTGGCTCTCGGTTCGGAACTTGGGCCTCCGGCGGCCGCTCGGAACCATTCGGGCGCCCCTCGGACGCCCTCGGCAGGGCGCGGCCGCTGGAGAACACCCCAGGCTGGAGAACCGCCGAGGAACGGCGAAAACGTCTGGAGACCTCGAGCCTCGAACCCCTCCAGTCGGGGCGTTGACCTAAGGAACCTTCAATAAGGAACGAGACCCCTTTTTCCCATAAGTTGAACTTCGAGTTCGCATCGAAGCCCTAAGCACAACCAAGGGCGAACTGCAAAACAATTAAGGAACACCGAGCCCCATCCCCAACGAAAAGGGTTCCTTCCTCAGCGCCTCGAACCCCTACCCGCGTCTCGTCATCGCTGCCGTCGTCGGCCGCCCGCGCGGGTCCCAGGCTCGGCGGCCAACCGCCCGCAGCGTGGACGCGCGGCGAGCGCAGCGACGACTGTGCAGAGGAAGGCCCTCCTCCCTCACTTGGGCGCCCGAGTTATCCGGACGCCCGAGTTATCCGGGGTAACTCGGGTCCGGGGTAACTCGGGTTTGGATTCCCGAAAAACGAACCCGAGTTAGCCCTGACCCGAGTTACCCCTGATGATTCGGGGCTCTGACTCACTCCTCCATCAAGAACGTTTTCATTCCCACCCTGGTAACGTCCGGCATGGGGGGGGGAGGGGGCCCGCGAGCGCCACGGCATGCGTGCGAGCTCCGCGCCACGCCTGTGGGGCAACCGCCCCCCCCCCCCCGCCCCCGAGCACGCTCGGTACCATTGCCCATCGGTCGGAAACAAGTAGGAGCACGAAGTATGAACGCGTTGGAAGTAGATTGGGTCTCCGCCCGCCTCCCGCAAAGGAGAGAGGGGGGGGGGAAAACACTCGACTCTTGAAGTAGGACGGCGGCCAAGGTAGACTGGTATCTGGGAATCCAGAAATGCCTGCTTTCAACGACCGATGGGTAACAAAAGGGAGGGCGGGAAAGGAGGGGGCGACCCCGCGCAACGCACGTTGAGGGTTCACTGAATAGAAAAACAATGTCCTCCCTTGACCCTTGACTATCGTTCAACCGATCCCCATCCCCTCCAGCGTGGGCTGGGCCCCACTGCCCGACGTAACCCCCCTGGACGGGGATATAAACCGTTCCCTTCGGGTTTCGTGGGGTGTACCCCCAACTGGGGGGGGGGTAAGTTGGTGGGAGTCTCCAAAGGGGTGGGGACGGGGGTGGGGCCGGTTGCACGTCCCGACTCCTTCCCCCTTGACCTGCAGTCGAACTGTGGGGCCACGAGAGCGTGCTCTCGGCTCCGGGCGCTGCACGTCCGCCGCTCCCGGGCGAAGCTCGCCCGGCATCGGGCTTCGAGACCAGCACAGCTCGATCTGCCTGGGACCATGCTGCCGATTGTTTCGTTTTGGACCCTCGGGAGCCTCCAGGGGTCTGGGGGCCGCGGACACAGCAAGAACGCAACAACTCACCAGAAAGCCCAATGGCAACCTTACCGTGCCCGTGAGGTGGACCCCGAGGTCCTGCCTTGCTGGGCCTCGAGAGATGCTGCCGAAATTTGACTCTGGGAGCCCCCAAGCGTGGTGGTGACAACACCAGGCGGTGAGTCTCGGGCGATGTGGTGTCACCACCCGGTTTGGGGTTGGGGGACTCGTGTGGTTTGTTCAGGATGTCCCGAAACGCTGGTAGGTCCAGGAGACACACAGCCCGGCGGTGACCCCGTGCTCCAAAAGCCGGCGGTGACTCTTCGGGGATTCCGTGTCACCGCCTGATGTCTCACCACCTGGTTTAGGGGTATAAACTTTCCAGCCGCCCAGGGACAGGCGCCCCCGACAGCGAACAGTTTATTATATACCGTTCTTCGCCCGCTGAGTTTGGGGGCTCCCCAGAATTTGGAGCTGTGGTCGTGAGCTTTCCCGACGCTGCAATCTCCTTTTTTTTGGGGGGGGGGGAGGGGCCGTAAGGGTCTCAAGAGGCTTCGGAGACCATGGGCCACGATCTGATGATGAATGCCGTGCCACCTCCCTAGTGGCACAGCGGCCAGAGCCGAAGGCCAGCGTTCAGAGACGACACTGCCCCTGAATTTCATTGCACCGTGGCGTCGGCCCACTGCCGACACTGCTCCCCAAATTTGGAGCTCCCGCAGGCTACGACACACAAATGAAGGGGCCCCAGGACACACAAACAAATACACACAAAGAAAACTATTCCCCATAATTTCCTATATGTTCTGAATCTTTGTCTCCACACCACTTCCCATATTTTCCGATATTTTCCTGGAAGTGAACGATTAATTGTGTCTGTGTGCTTTTTCCCCTCCTGAACAAAGAGCGCTGCGAGGTTCGGGGGCGCGCGAACATGGATCGGGGGAGGTGCCCTCCCCAAAAAGCGGCCGGTGCCGCCCCGTTCTGCAGCAAAAATCCGCGACTTCCCATGGAAGCGGGACCCGTCACTAATCCACGCCCCCTTGATCAGTGTTCGCGATCGCCCGAGAGGTGGAAGGGCCACACGTCAAGAAGATGAGGGTACACCATCAAAAGCAGGGGTCGTTATGTACCCTTGGGCCGGCTGTGACTGACCTCCGGTCGCACCATCAGACGTGCCGCCATGGGCGGGGCTGGCGTCTCGCCCGAGGCTTTCCCGCCGCTCACGATCTTGGAGCTCCAAGCTCCAGTAGCCCACACCGACACAGGGGGCGGGTCGTGTGCAGAGCGGGGTGACGGGGTGGTGCCGCGCACACCCGTCTTGAGCAGAGTCGTTTTCAGGGTGGGGCTGTGGCCTGAGACGTGCCCTAAATCTACAGCCGAATACACGGGAGTGTGCAGTTGCACGGATGTGTGGTGGTTCGCTTTCGGCAAGGGCCTCTCGCTCGAGACCTCGTGGGAAGCTGTCACGACAAGTCCAGCGCCGGACCACAGACACACGGACAGAGGGCGACTCCTCTCCAGGAGGACCGTCGCTGGGCACGTCCTTCTGCACTTGATGACTCCACGCGGTCGCGCTCCCCATACCTTTGGAGGCCTAGAAATGGGCACCAACACCAACACAAGGGGTTGCCTCCACAGAGGGAAGACGATCCTCGATTTCGGTGTTGGTGGCAGTATGTCGGCCACCTTAGAGGCCAGAATATTACCACCGTCCCCGAGATCGGGAGCTTCTTCCCTCGGTGGATGCACACCGCCAATCTTGGTGTTGGTGTCAACCTCTAGGCCTGCGATTATACCTCGAAAGATGGAGGGCAGACCCTGCCAAAACGGAGCCCACGCCCGCAGCGCGGGCCCCCAGCGGGCGCTCGTCTGTCCAGGGGAGCGCCTCTCGCAGCGAGAGGGAGTGCCTGCAGAGACCGTGGGGAGGGGACACCGGACGGGAGGACCTGCTGCAGTGTCGCTGGCACATGTTAGGCTCACTATCGTCCTCCATCTCCTCCGCCCTCTCCTCCCCAGCCTCCTCCCTCCCTCCCTCCGTTCCTCCATCCTCCCTTCCATGCAGCCTCCCTCCAAGGTGGGGAGATGGGGATCTGGGTAAGTTGAAGCCTCTGGACGCCTCCCGCACGCTCTGGACACCTTCCGGGGCCCCTGGACACGCCCAAAGACCTCCGAGGACACCTCGCCGTCGTTCTCCCCCTTCCCCCTTCCACCTCCTCCCCCCCGCCTCCGTGAACTAGGCAAGGGTTGTACTCGTCGTATCGTCCCTACTCCAGCGGAATATCTCGAAAGGATTGCTCGTGGATTGTGGCCCACAGCTCTAAGTGCTGCCGAGAGGCGTAGCCGTTGTCGTATGTAATTCGTGCCTTCGCGAGTACTTCGTCAGCTCGTATAGGCATAATTGACTTTTGTCAGATGGTCATACTCATACTCCTCGTCCCTCCTCGTCCCTCCTCGTCCCTCCTCTTCTCTCCCTCCTCCGTCGTCCCTCTCCCCATTTCTCCTGGAGCCCCCGTCCGAATACGGTGGGCCGTAGCTGAGGCAGGCACGACCAGCGCGATGGACATTGTGACGGTCGAGCAGATGAAAACCCAGACGAGGCCGGGGTTTTCCTGGGAAGACGCCAGCAGCTGAACTTCTACAAATATGCGTGTGTACATGACTATATATGTACATATGTGTGTATATATATATATATATATATATATATATATATATATATGGTCGCACCCCCCCCCAAGATCTACCTTTTGGTGGGTTTTCAAATGAACGTTCGAGTTGTCTGTCTCTCCTCGTATCTTCCTCGCCCCTTCCTCGCTGGCGCAAAGCCGCTCAAATGCGAGAGAACTACCGTTACAACCTCGCAGAGAACTCGGACAGAGGTTCTGGTCTGGGGGCAAGGAAAACCTGTGATTTCATTGGTTTTTCTGGTTTTTCTGGTTTGGGAAACAGGAAAACATCTGATTTCATTGGTTTTTTCTGGTTTTTCTGGTCTGGGGGCAAAGAAAACATGTGATTTCATTGGTTTTTCTGGTTTTTCTGGTCTGGGAAGCAGGAAAACCTATGATTTCATTGGTTTTTCTAGTTTTTCTGGTCTGGGAAGCAGGAAAACCTGTGATTTCATTGGTTTTTCTGGTTTTTCTGGTCTGGGGGGAAGGAAAACCTGTGACCGAAAAGCCAATAAAATCACAGGTTTTCCTGCTTCCCAGACCAGAAAAACCAGAAAAACCAATGAAATCAGAGGTTTTCCTGCTTCCCAGACCAGAAAAACCAGAAAAACCAATGAAATCACAGGTTCTCATGCCTCCCAGACCAGCAAACCAATCAAAACCAGCGACTTTCCAGGTATCGCGAGCCACCAGACTAGAGAGAAACCAAACACCACGCTTGGCAAAGTTTCCTTAGCTCCGAGACAGGAGAAACGCCTGGCCAGGTTTCGTGAGCTTCAAGATTTCTCTGCTGCGCAATGCGCTTCTGGTTGCGTGCACGGCCTCGCCTACTCATAAGCGCCCTGCCGCGCTCCCCTAAGCCTGCGGTCTACAAGCTACTTCCCCCTCAAGCGGCTGAACATCTGATTTCTCTGCTGCGCAATGCGCTTCTGGTTGCGTGCACGGCCTCGCCTACTCATAAGCGCCCTGCCGCGCTCCCCTAAGCCTGCGGTCTACAAGCTACTTCCCCCTCAAGCGGCTGAACATCTTGCCGGTCTCCAGCCACAGGTCCTCGTTGGCATGCCAGTACGCCCACTGGGCCGATCGGACCCTGGCGTTCAATGACACCGAGCCAACGGAGCTCTTCCTGGTCTTGATGAAGCCGCGCAAGTGCTGCCAGAACCTGTCGATGATCTGGGTCCCGCCTTTGCACTTGAGGACTCGTCCACCAGGAAGTTTATGCTGAAACTTCTTGGCGTACGTGGGTTTCACCCACACCTGGCGGCCGTTCTTCTTCACGGGCTTGCCATTCTTCACGAGCCGCTTCCTCTGGTGCACGACGTGGTCGTGGAGCATCCCCTCGACCTTGACCTTGTACGTTTTTGCCCCGTCCGTGTGGAGCACAACGTTCCTGTTGCTCAAGTTCTTGTGAGCGAACGGCGTCCAATCAGGCAAGCGTATCGCGCCTGGGCCTGGCGCCCTCTGCTTGGTGAGGCTTGGCTTGAGGCGCGTCAACACCAATGTCTTGCGATTGCCTCTTTCGATGACACCGCCCCACTGCTCCCACTGGACCCGCTCGTTCTCAGCTCGCTCCGCGTGATCAGGCAGTAGATCGCCCCTGAGGTCGACCTCATCGGCCTCGACATCTTTCCACGTCCGCCCCTTTCCTCCGAAAGAAATCAGTTTCTCCTGCTGCTGCACGTCGCTCTTTCGGCACGCATCATTGAACTTGCTCATGCTCTCGATCGCCTTGTGGTTCTTGCCCGTGAGCGCATGGATCTTGGCAAGGGGGACGTTGTTCACGACAGCGAAAAGCACGGCAGACTGTTCCTGCAAGGGCACCGCGGCAACGCCAGAGCCGCTGCTGAAGACCATGTGCCCGCTCTGGGGCAAGGAGAACTTCTGGCAACCCTTGTGGTTGCAGCGGTACCGCGGTCCACGGCCCTGGACGTCCTTCAGGGGGCCGAGGGTTCCTTTCGTGCAGAAAGAGCACGTCTGGCCTTCCAAATTCTCCAAGACCTGGTCCTCGAGCAACATGTCGACGATCTCGCGGTCACTTGCGCGTATGAAATCGAACACGTTCCTCTTGAAAGCAACGCGCTCCGGCCTGGACGTGCAAGTTCTCTTGCCGTGCCGCACGTAAGGCACCTTCCTCGCACTCTGGTTTGGCGCCGTCTTTTTCGCCGTTGTCTTTCCCGCGTGCTTCGGGGCCTTCCGCTTGGGCTTCCCCGTCTTGAGGACAGCGCGCGCCTTGCCCCGCTTAGGCGCAGGGAAGACGCGCCCAGGCGCCATGGCGCGGCTCTGGCCGACGACCCTGGCCAGGAACGGGCAGGCGCGCCTGATCCCCTGGCGCGCCGATGCGCTTGAGCATGCATGTGCGGCGCGCAGGTTTGGCATAGCTCGTGCGCCCTGGCGAATGGACAACAATGCACCAACGAACGCTGGTTGCTCGACCTGCAAAACTGCCTCCTGAATTCGCGGAAGAGACGACACGGGGTCGGCGATGCATCACCGACAAGTCGGCGATGTGCCCCGATACCGAAGACGCGCGTCCGGGGCTCCTCCCAGACGCCCTGGCCCCAAACGGCGATGACCCTGGCATCAGCAGCGGGTGACGAGAGGGCGACGACGACGATGGCAATGGCGACGGCGGAAGCGAAGAAGGCGGAGATGACGATTGGGCGAGGCGTTTCAGCACGCCGCACGTGATCGGCGTGGGATGCCGTGACTGCTGGCTGCCAGCCCCGCCCCAATGCGTCGCATTGGCCATGAAACTGAAATGTCAATCTCCGCGCCCCCTCCCCATCTACACGCCCATGCCCCCGCCCTCCCCCCCCCCTCTCCCTCCGCCCAACTCGCGCCGCCTCCGCGGCGGGCAATGGCGCCTGGCTCACGCCCACGTCGCCCGCGGCCGCATGCGGCTCAGCCCTTCGATGGTCTTGTCGAGCGTCGCCATCTTCGCCCTGACGTCCTTGGGAACGACCGAGGCCCAGACGGGCGCCTCGATCGACCGCGGCCGATGGATCCCCCACTGTCTATATCCACTCATACGCCCGAGAGGTGCTCTCCCCTCCATCCCCCCGCGGGCGCGGGCGATCAGGCAATGCCCCGACCACCCCGATCGAACAATTGATTGATCGGCAACCGATCAGGCAGCGCCTTCCGAGGGCGGATCCTCCAGCTCGTCGTAGATGCAATACATCTGCATCTCCATCAAGCGCCACTTGACCCGCAGCCGCGCGCCCTCCTGCGAGGCGGGCACGGCGTCGGCGGGGAAGCCGACCGCCAACGCGGCGGGGCGCATCCAGTGGAGGAGTTCCTTAGGGGTGCGTCGGCTCGCTATCGATCGCGCCCCATCCCTCGCTACCTTCCCCGCCTCTCTCTCTCTCTCTCTCTCTCTCTCTCTCTCTCTCTCTCTCTCTCTCTCTCTCTATCTCTCTCTCTCTCTCTCTCTCTCTGGCGCTTTTTTTGTTCCTCTCTCTCTCTCTCTGTATGTATATGCACCCCGAGCCCAGAGCAGCGGCCGCCGATCGGTCGGTTCGAGACCCGCGGGCCATGCTCGCTAAGCAGCAGACGTACGGCAGCACAGGGTCGTTGTCCGCGCGGACCAGCGCCGCCCGTGGAATCCACGTCCACGACGGCTCAGTGGGGACCAGGAAAGAGGCGACGCGCGCACGGACATCGTCATGCAGCAGAGAACGCGCCTGCCACAGGGGAAGCAACTCCTGGAAGGCCTGGTACTTCAGCGAACACCACTCGCGATGGTACGCGAGCGAGTCGACGCCCGCCTCAAACTGAACCTGGAGGCGCTGGCACTCACGTCGGGCATCGCCGTTGGCGGCCATCTCGCTCGACCAATTGGTCGTCAAGTATGCGGAGTGCTCAGGGTGGAGCCGAGGGCGCGCGATCGCAGACGTCGAGCCAATCTGGCCACGAGAGGGAGAGTGAGAGACAACCGCCCTGATGGCATCACGTGCTGCGCGCATTCATCCCAAGGTTTGCGACAGCTGGCCTGGATGTCAAGATGATAGGTTTCTGCGCGCGTCTTCTCTCCCTGCAATAGCATGGCTGTCAGCCCCGTCCCAATGCGTCGCATTGGCGATGAAATTACACTGCAACTCTTCCCGCCCACGTCCCATCTACGCGCCCGAGACCCCGCCCCGCCCCCCGCGCCGCCCTGCCGCGGCGGGCAACGCGCCCAGCGAACGCCGCTAGGCCTCAGACCGCGCGGCCGCCGCCGCTGCTGCTCGACGGGCCGCCGCGGCCCGCCGCGCGGCTCAGCTCCTGATCCACGACCTCCTCCAGAGCCTGGGTGAGTGACACGGCGCCCTGCTCCGTCGCGACGTCAGAGTCTGGCGAGAGCCCCGCCGCGCCGTTCAGCTCATGAGCCATGATGTCCCCCAAGACAAGGGAGAGCTTGCGCGGCTTCGGCGGCTTCTGCCCGAACTCGTCCTGCCCCACCGCGTCGCTGGAGCCTGGCTCGAGCTTCACCTTCTGCAGCGGGACGGTGCCCGACTCGAACTTCACCTTCTTCTTCAACGGGGAGGGGCTGCAGAGGTCGATCTCGACGGGCCCGTTCTGGCGCAAGTTGCGGCTGAAGACATTGGAAGGCTCCCGCTTAATCGGCGCCGTCGGCACGACAGGGGCGGCCGCGGGCGCCTCCGCCTGCTCGCCGATCATGGAGCCGCCCAAGCCGAACGGGTCCTCCTCTTCCTCGAGCCAGGCGGATGGACGCGCAAGCCGCCACCACCCCGAATCCCTTGGAGCGAAAAAGTAGCATGGGGGAATGGCGCCAGGGGGGGGGCGCAATGGGGGGGGGGCGGCTTGCACGTTCAATCGCATGACCCTCCTGGTCGCCCAGAAAGATCCGCCCAGCCGAGCTCGGCGGCGGCGGCGCGGCAGCGCCCGCGGCCGGCTCCCCCACTGGGCCTGCAGCCTCCGCGGGGACGCCGTACTCGACGCCG